AAATCAACCTTGTCCTCAAGGTCTATATGAGGAAACTGCTACTTTAAGGTGTCAAATGGCTCCCATGTAGCATCATCAGGTGTGTCTAGATCACCAAGGCCTTAGGTATCACATGTCACCCGCCCACCCCTTCTTGACCCATCATAAATTGATGATCTTTAGTGTTTCAATTGCCAATGTGTCGTCATTAGAGAACTGGGGTAAAGTTGGGCTGTTAATAACTCCATCCTTGAGGCGTTTCTTGAGGCAAGGAGACAAGAAAAACTGGGTGGAGCTTGGAAGTAGTGAGCAACTCCAACTTGTAAGCCATTAAGCTTATCTTCTCTATAATTTTGAATGGACTGAAATATATGGGAGCCAATTTATTCCATGCTCTATTGGCTAGGGAAGTCTGCAAGTATGGTTGGAGTTTGAGAAAAACAGAATCCCCAACTTGATACTCTGGTTGTCTGTGCTTGGCATCATAAGTTTTCATCATGAGTTGTTAGGCCCGTAGTAGATTAGCCTTAAGTTCTTGGAGAACCATATCCCGCTGCAACAGTTTATCTTCTAATGTAGCCACAATTGAACCCTTTTCATAATGAATAATGGGTGGTGGATTCCTAGTTCCCTACCATACAAAGCATTGAAGGGTGTCATGCCTCCATGTTATAACATTGATTCTGACCGAGATGTGGTAGGTTGTATTGTACCACCATTCAGCCCAATGAATCCATTTCATACATTGTTTGGGTCAGCTGCCCAAGAAACAATGGAGGTTAAGTCTCCAAACAACGGTTGACCACCTCGATTTGGTTGTCCGTTTAGGGGGTGATAATTGGTTGGCTTCTTCAGATGAACTCCTATCAACCTAAAGTATTCTTCTCAAAAGCGGCTTATGAACACTGAGTCTTTATCTGATATAATGGACCTTGGGGTTCCATACAGCCGGGCAACCTCTTCAATAAAGAATTGAGCCACCAAAACGGCATTGTAGGGGTGAGACAAATCCAGGAAGTGGTTGTACTTGGTAAGTCAGTCGACTACAACCATAATGGTCGATTTCCCCACCTAGACTGGAAGGCCAGAAACAAAGTCCATTGATATATCTTTTCACACCTGAGTTGGTATGGGTGGAGGCTGCAAGAGACCAGTGGGGGAGTGGGCTTCATACTTATATTGTTGGAAGATATTACATGCTGCAATGTAGGCCTGGACCCTCTTCCTCGTACCCCTCCAATAAAAAGAGATACCAATCATTGGTATGTTTGAAGGATTCCTCAATGTCCCCCAAGTGGGGAAAAGTGAAAGTTCAAACAACTCCTGTATATGATCTAAACTACTAGGGATCACCATGCCACCCTGATAGAAGAGAGTAGAACCCAAAACAGTAAAACCAAGCACTCGAGTGGGATCTTAGGTCCATTTCGTTTTGATGGCCTGGAGTTCTCAGCTTTGATCTGCTTGCTTCTAATGCTGTCCATAAGGGGAAACATGGGCCTACTCTCTAGTTGTCACTTGTCAGGATAAGCCAACAGTGGCTCAATTTATTGAACTAGCTTGATACTCTACATGGTAGTAAAACCCAAGCAATTTTGGTATCCACTTTTACTGATCTAGAGTTAACACTGGCTGCTCCATGTGGAACTTGAAACTCTTGTGGTCTATACGGATTGTGAACCAATGTTGCAGTGCAAGGACCACAACCATCAATTCCTTCTAATATACAGACTTGGAGGTGGTCTTTGTCGATAAGGCCTTGATGAAATAAGTAATGGACTTTCCTTCTTGCATCAACACTGCTCCCACCCCACTATTTGAAGTGTCACACTCAACTAAAAACTCCCTAGTGGTCACGGCCTATAAGCTTGTTGGGCTTCCATGGACCATTCAAGCGAGTCCTTCGAGCCTTTGTCAAAGGAGCTGCTATCAAACCATAGTTCTTGATGAACCTACAACAGTAACCAGTGAGCCCAAGGTCAACAGAAATTTGATGATACAGTAGTAACCAGTGACCCTTGCCAAAAGCTTGTTGGGCCAAGTCACTTAATCATGCAAGCAAATCTTCTCTTGGTCAACAGAAACTCCCCACATTTTGCACAATATTACCCAAGTAGTGAACTCAGGTCTGACCACATGAGCATTTGGATTTCTTCGCATACAGCTGATGGCTTTTGAGCTGTTCTAAAGTAATCTGCAAATGAGACAAATGTTTCTCCCAAGTCCCAACTAGGGATATACACCAGGATGTCATAAAAAAATGGTTCTGTTAAAGTGCTTCGCTTGACATGTTTCATCAATCTTAAGGTTTTTGGTGTATTGGTAAAACACATAACAAATGGTATCAAAGCCTACCACCATGTCTCAAGCTCAAATCACGAAGAGAGCTACATAGAGCAGAGTGAAAACTGTCAAGGAAAGGGCTACTTGAAGTGGAGTGAAAGTTGTCATAGAAAGGGCTACTTGTCGCCAAAGAGAAGAATCATTTTCCTTACTAATCGAAGGGGAACTCACAAGTAGCTATAAATTGGCTGAAATGAGAAAAGGTAGGAGCATGGCAGCCTATGCACATAGATTGGAGAAGCAAGATAGCTAGCAACCTTGCGGTGATGTGTTAGAGCAGCCATTCTGTGGAGCATATGGGAGGAAAAAATGCTAGAATCTTCAAAAGAGAGGATGCTTCCCAAGGAAGTGATGAGAGAAAATATCTCTATTAAAGTGGCTCCTAGGGTGAAGACATTGGATGCTTTTGCTGATTTTTTGACCCTTAATATATTTAGGAATGGGCAAAATCCTGCAAACTCCTCAACTACTAGATGATCTGTGATTGTGGAAAGGAGGCCACCGAGCCTCACAAGGGAGCTGGATGCAAAAGTGTATTGGTCTAGGAGGTCATCAAATGCTTTAGCTGACTACCTAGCAAAACAGGGGGTGAATCAGGAGTTTTTGTTTTGTGCAGTGTTGTAAGATTTTTGTTATTCAGGGGTCACCTTTTACTTTGGAAGGTGACAGTTGTTTCTTTTGGTTTTATCTAATGAAAGTTACTGTTTCCTATCAAAAAAAAAATACAAAAAATAAAGTTAAATTTTGATGGCTGAAGTCTTGGTAATCTAGGAGAGTTTAGGATTGGGGAAGGATTTCAGAGATAGAGGACACATTTTGGCCCTCTATTCTGGCCCTATAGGTCATGGGGACTCAACTAGGGCAGAAGTGATGGCACAACAACAGAGATTAAGGCTAGCAAAGAGACACAACCTCAAGAATCTTTTAGAGGAAGGGATTCATATGTAGTGGTGGGATGGCGGTTAAGTGCATTATAGACATGTTCAAGGGGGACCATATGTATTGGAATGGGGACCAATTTCCCAAGGGGGAAACTAGTAACATCAAAATGAAAGAATAATAAGGGAAAACAAGGGTAGGGGCTTCTGTCTGGGCACATATCGGGGTGATAAACTTATTAATGTATTACATAGAATTCTTATTCTATTTTTTTTTTTTGTTAAGTAAAAAGATCATTAAATTTCATTGAAAACAATAATGATAGGCACTGTTACAAGCATCCCAAAAGGAGGCGCAAGATGCAGCCTCCCTATTAATTCAAAGCTAGCACTGTAATTACAATTGCACCCAATACAACCGGTCCCTAATTACCCCTTGCTTTGCTAACACATTAGCCAATGCCTTTGCCTCCCTTCCCACCCATTGTATACTTAGATTCATCTGTTGTGTTAACCACTGGAACTTCTTCATTTCCTTTCTATAACACCAAATCACTGAGTCTGGATTTCTTAGCCAACCTACCACCACCTTGGAGTCCCCTTCAATCACCAAGTTCTCCAAATTCATGTCTTTTGCAATCTGAATACCTTGTATAACTGCAGACAGTTTGACCTTTAAAGAGTCTCCAACCCCCACCGGTCTTGAGTAAAGTGCTAGTATAAACCCTTCCTTATCTCTTATGACTCCTCCAATTCCCGAAGGACCTGGGTTGCCCTGACTACTCCCATCAAAGTTTAATTTCAAAAAACCTTCAAGAGGAGGTGTCCATACCGACCTTGTTTTAATCTTTTGCACTGAGCTAGATGCCACTGAAACCCAGTTCCTCCAAATATCATCAAAGGAAAACTGTTTAAATAAATCCAAAGTTAATAGCCAATGTATAATTCATCAAAAAAATAGCCAATGTATAACGCTGGTCATTATACAGTCCAAAATCTGTTGTTTACTCCTCTCCTTTTCTTGAAAGATTCTTGCATTTCTTCTTCCCATAAGGTTCAAATCACTGGTGCACTAGTCTCCACATTATTCTTCCTCTCCTTTTTGGCCAAGCAAAGGTAGAAGGGTCAAAAAATGACTTAATCTCCATTGGCATATTCCACCTGCACCCAAACAAAGAGAAAAACCAATCCCAAATATCTGCAACAAAGGAACAGGAAATTAGTAAATGGTAACAAGATTCATCATCAGATTTGCAAAGAGTACACCAATTCGAGGAAATGCACAAAAAAGGCCTTTTCTTTTGCAAATAGTCCGAAGTGTTAACCTTCCCATAAACCACCTCCTAACAAAAAGCCTTAAATTCAGGAGGAGTGAGCTGAAACCAAACTTCCTTAGAAGGAAAAGAAAGAGGGGTAGGGGACTGGCAAAGAGCAAGAAAAAAAGAGGTACAGGAAAATTAACCTTTAGAACTTGGACACCAAACTCTTCTATCCAAATTAGAAGGCTCTAAGCAAATTTTATCAAGAAGAAATAAAAGCTCTGACAAGCAAGTGACCTCTTCATCCCTCAATCCCTCAGAATTAAAGAAAGGAATAATTCCTTTAAAGGCCGGTCACCATCCTTGGCAGCTACCTTTACAAGGATTCCAAAATTTTATTTCATTATCAATAAAATAGAACCAGTAACTAATAAAAAAAAACAATCCAATACAATTCCAACATTTGAAACCCTCCTTTATAAATTCAATGGACATGAAGGACTATGATAATTATGTAATAATTAAAACTTGCAATGCATACCATGTGAATGCCTGTATTTAGTTCTTTTGCTGCATCTCTTGTTTCAAGAAGCAAGCGATCTGTTGCATTCATGATTTGCCTTATTCCAAACCATATTCTGATACGCCCATCTGCAGTTTCATGATGCTTCCTGTAAAGTTCTTTCTGAGACTGCCTTTGAATTGTTACATGAGTGTTAGTTATAAAACGGACAGGCAAAAATAATTATTTCAAAAGAAAATGTACAAGAAATCAACTGAAGGGACATTCTACGTGAAACAACATCAAAACAGAGGAAATAAATGTGTTTTCCATTTAGGCACTGGCATTGCTGTGAACAAGAAATCAACAATTATTTTTCATATGCAAAAGAAAATGTGAAGGATAGCTCCCTTCCAAATTTGCAAAACCCATGGTCCTCTCTACTTTCATAGAATATCACCCCTAAGATGTCCTACTACATAAAGTCACCATTGAAACAACATACGAACACAAACTAAGAACACGACCATTACCACCAACTTATATTATTGTAGAAAAAGAGAAGGGTAGGAGGCAAGGATCATTTTTCCACATAGGGTTTATTTATTTTTTAAATTAAGAAAATGTAAAAGACTGCAATAGAATCCCTCTTAACTCAATATTCAATAGCCTATGATTAGAAACCCCCCCCCCCCACAAAGACAGCCTTGCCTTTCTCTTTTCTCTAAATAAGGATGCAACTTTTTTTTTTTGAGAAAAGGTAAGGTAATTTTATTGAGATAAGCCTGAATCCCGTTTGATGCTGAAACCCAAGAGATCAGTTTTCCAAATGAAATGGATATAAGATCCTCCGGGTCTTCGGAGATGTTATGAAAAAGCCTTTTGTTCCTTTCTGCCCAAACGGTACTGATTACAGCAGCTGGAATGGACACCCACACAGCAGCAGCAAGCTTTGACAGCCCCCGTAACACCCAGCCTCATAACATTTCCTTCACTGAGACAAGCATAACCCAAGCAAGAACCAGTGCAGAGAGATTATGGTTCCAAATCCTAGCAGAAATACGGCAGTGAAGAAACAGATGACTGTTATCCTCCACATCTTGACCACACATCACACAACTCTGATCCTGGAGTTGTATCCCTCTCTTAGATAGATGAGCTTTGGTTAAACACCTGTCTAAAGCTGCAGTCCACACCAGGGAATTGATTTTCAAGGGGGAGGTCCGGTTCCAGATAATGGAAGCAGGCATGTCTTCCAAATTACTTTCCGACAGGTTAAGAACAAAAGACTTGACTGAGAATTGGCCATCTGTGCTCCAAGTCCAATGCCAACTGTCTTCTTTGAACAAGTCCAGAGGCTGGAGGGAGATCAGCTCAAGAAGCTCAGCTAAGTTTGCAATTTCCCAACCCTGAAAGTTCCTTCTAAATGAAGGACACCAAACAACAGTTACCAAATACCTCAAAACAGTCTGCTACCACTGCATCTTGGAGGTCAGCTAGTTGAAATAACTGTGGGAATAAATCTGATAGAGGGGTATTTCCACACCAAGGATCTTTCCAGAAAGCCAGCCTATCACCCTTCCCCAGTTTAGGACTTAATCCTCTGCTGAAATTTGGTAGAGTATCCATTATTTTCCTTCATAGGGAGAAACCTAAGGAGGGGAGAGAAGATATGGTAATCCAGTCCCATCTGTCTGTGTTGTATTTATCTGCAAGTATAGTCCACCAATTGTTTCTTTCCATTCCAAATCTCCAGATCCACTTCCCTAGAAGAGCCTTGTTGAAAATCCTCATCCGCCTGATACCCAAACCTCCTTTTTCTTTCAGAGAGCACACCTGATCCCAGTTCACCAAGTGAATTTTCTTCTTACCTTTCTCCCACCCCTTCCATAGGAAATCCCTATGCAACTTTAACAGCATAGTTTTCAGGGGCCAGCCTTGTCGCTAGGCTTTGCCTAGGCAATGGGATTTTTTTGAACAAAAACGATGAATCTTACAGTAATTTCCTAGGTTTCATAGCAATCAGCAACCATCTTTCACTATTAATTATTTATAATCTTCATAAAAAAATGTATAAACTTCATTTGAAACATAGAAAATCAACATATTCATGAAAAAATAGAAAAACAAAAAGAAATTTAAGAAAATAGAGCAGTTGAACCTCTACTTTTGTCCTTAGAAAAGAAGAAAAGAAAATAATGGATGACAAAGGAAGAAGAAGATCTGTTCTTTTTTTTATATAATAAAAAAAAAGATTTCATTAAAAGAAAAAATATTATAGACTGGCCAGGTGTTAAGGCAACATCTAGAAACATCATAAGGCAAAAAAAAAAAAAAAAAAAAAAACAAAATAGAACAAATCATCAAAATAAAATAACTATAATCCCAACACTTCCCCAAGCCTGTACCCAACATCTTTTTTTTTTAATCAATAACTGCAAATTTCATTAAAATTAAAGATAAATTACATAAAAACAAAGAACAGAGGAGAGGTAAACTCTCTTAACTCTCCTAAAAAATTCCGACTCTTCTTCTTCTTTTTGGCTCTCATGTTTTGGTCACCCTACTGTCTTCTTCTTTATGCCAAGTTGATGAAGCTCCCAATCAAGATTTGCAACTAAAGACAAAAGAACCTGAATAGAGTTCATTTTTGCAACCGGAGCAAAAGTCTCGGCATAATCAACTCCATGCACCTGTGTGAACTGTGAAGCCCTTTGCAACTAGTCGAGCCTTGTACCTTTCCACAGACCCATCTGCCTTATGTTTTATAGAGAACAACCATTTGCACCCTATAGGCTCCTTTCCCTTAAGAAGATCTACCAGCTCCCATGTATCATTCTTGTGAAGAGCATTGATCTCTTCTTTCATTGCATCTGTCCACTCAAGAACAGGTAAAGCCTCCGCAACACTCTTGGGAACGGGAACACTATCAATGGCAAATAGAAAAGCATGAAAAAAAGATGAGACATTCTCATAGGACAAGAAGTGAGACATGGGGTGGTGTGTGGTGCATGATCTGACACCCTTCCTTTTTGCAATAGGGAGGTTCAGATCACAACGTGAAGTGTCAATACCAATAGGTTTAGGAACATCAACTGGAACAATAGTACCTAGGTGAGGTGAAGAATCCAACCCTTAAGATTCTGATGACATTGGTGGCATAGTTTCCAGTGGCTCTGTGGCAATTGAACTTTATTGGCCTTGATTTTTGTAGTGCAATCTCCAAAAGACACGAAATGGAGGAAGATCAAGAATAGAAGGCAACAAAACTTGAGTCTGACTTTGTTTCTCCTCAACTCTACTCTCCCCCTGAGGAGAAACAAGAAAACAAAAGACACRAAATGGAGGATCAGGAATAGAAGGCAACAAAACTTGAGTCTGACTTTGTTTCTCCTCAACTCTACTCTCCCCCTGAGGAGAAACAAGAAAACAAAAGACACRAAATGGAGGATCAGGAATAGAAGGCAACAAAACTTGAGTCTGACTTTGTTTCTCCTCAACTCTACTCTCCCCCTGAGGAGAAACAAGAAAACAAAAGACACRAAATGGAGGATCAGGAATAGAAGGCAACAAAACTTGAGTCTGACTTTGTTTCTCCTCAACTCTACTCTCCCCCTGAGGAGAAACAAGAAAATAGGGGACATCTTCAAAGAAAGAGATATCCATAGAGACAAAACAAGAAAACAGGGTCAAAACAACGATAGCCTTTCTGAGCAAGGGGATAACCAAGAAAAATACACACAATAGCTTTGGGATCAAGCTTACCAAGAGTAGGAGAGAGATCATGAACAAAACACTTACATCCAAAGACACACATAGGGATAGGAAAAAGTGGATCTTTAGGGAAGAGGAGCTGATGAGGTGACCTATATTCCAATACCCGAGATGGTGTTCTATTGATGACATAGGCAGTAGTTAGAACAACATCCACCCAAAATCTTTCTGGGACATTTATTTGTAGCATTAATCCTCAAGCAACTTCAAGGAGAAGTCGATTTTTTCTCTCTGCAACCCCATTTTGCTGAGAGGTTCTGGCACATGAGCTCCTGTGTTGAGAGCCGCAGGATGCAAAGAAATCTATGAGGTCTCTATGGAAATATTCCTTGGCATTATCTGATTGAAAGATTTGGATTTCATATTGAAATTGGGTGTAAACCATACGCTGAAAGTCTTTCGCAATTTTAGGAACTTCCCCTCGTAAATGCATAGGATAAACCCAAGTGTAGCGGGAGAAGTCATCAACAAAGGAAATAAAATATTTGTAACCATTCTCAGTTGGAATATTAACAGGTCCCCACACATCTGAATACACAATGTAAAAAGGAAATTTTGATATTTTATTACGTAAAGGGAATGAAGTTCTACAATGTTTACTCAGTTGGCACACTTGACACTAAAAATCACTAACAAACAAAGACTTGAACAAATCTGGAAACAAAAACTTGAAAGACTCAAAAGACACATGGCCCAAACGGTGGTGCCACAAAATAACCTGACTCTTACTTGACGGACTCAAAAACTCTGAAACTGTAAGACCGACTTTGTTCTCCAACACATAAAGACCATCCACCATGTTCCCTCTATCAATCGTCCTCTCGATAGCCAAATCCTGAAAAACACAAGAATGTGGAAGAAATGTTACTAAGCAATTCACAAGGCATGAAAAATACTACTAATGGATAACAAATTAATGGGTAACTTTGGAACATGTAAAACATTAGATAAGGAGAGGCCAAAAGGCAAAGATATAGATCCTTGACTAGCAATGGATGAGAATGATCCATATGCTAACCTCACTTTATCTCTGCCAGAGAGAAGAGAATATGTTTGGAAACAAGGTTGACTTACCAATCATGTGGTTGGATGCATCAAAATCAATAATCCATGGGGATTTCGAGTTATCAGTAGACACATGGAAAGCTAAGGCAGAATTACCTAAAAAGAAGGCAAAAGAAGTAGAAGGTGTGGGTCCAGAATCAGCATTCTGAAGAGCCCTACCATATTGCTCTAAGTGGCCACAGAAGGAATTGATAATATCTTCCTTTGGGTTAGAACAAGGGAGACAATCTTGAGAAGTACTCTGATGTTCATGAGATGCTAAGTTAGTCGAAGTAAGCTTCTTCTGGTATGGCTTCTTGCTTGGTTCTTGTGCTGATTTCTTACCCGATTCCTATGCCCATTTTGGTTTC